TTGAGGGAAGTAGGAGGAGAAATAAAGAAAGGCCCAAGATGACGTGGATAAGTGATAGCAGCGGATATGAGAAAGATAAATTTTAGAAATACTGATGCTCAGGACCATCAAAAATGGAAAAGAAAAATCAGAGGGAAAACTGTCAAATCTGGGTAAACTGAAAATTGCCATTAAACGGAGAAGTTAATTTGGAAATTATGTAAATGAATGAATGACATGTGTAAGATTATGTTATATATGTTCAAGTAATATCTAAAAAGAAATAGCTCATTAGCAATTATATTACCTGAGATCCTTTTTTTTTCTCTTTAGCTTTCACCTTTTCTGGTGGTAAGCTCCTTCAATATCTCTCTCCACTTTATGTTATTCATACTATCTCTTTTATCTAATTTATATTTCTTCATATTGGTTCTAACTTTATGGCCCAATTGAAGTTTTGGCCTTCCTCTTTTATGTTTGCCCATCACTTCCAAACTCAACCTTATTTCCTATGTAGTTCATAGGCCTTCTCATTGTGTGCTCATACCACCTAAGTCTGTTTACCATTATCTTAGTCTTGATGGGCACTACTTTTAAACTTCCTAGTTTTCTTGTACTTCGCACCTTATCCTTTCTTGTTACCCCAGCAATCATCCTCAGCATTCTAATCTCCATAGTTTATAGACTTCTCTCGTCTGATTCTTTGGTTAGCCATGTTTCCGAACTATATAGAATAGTTGGTTGTACTATGGAACTGTAAATTTTTCCCTTCAATTTGTGTGGGATTCTTTTGTCAAAGAGCACTCCAGATAAAGATCTCCACTTTAACCACCCTTGATTAATTTAACTCTTTATCTCTTTCTCTATTGTGCCGTTTGTTTATATAGTGGAGCCCAAATATTTGCTTTTTCAATTGTCGATATCTGCCATTCATTTATATCAATGCTCTCTTTTTAATCTCCTCCTATCACCATATACTCCGTCTTTTCTGTATTTACTTTTAGTCCATGCTTTTCTAGGATATTTATCCAACTCACTAATCTTTCTTTCATTTCATCCTTGGATTCGGCAAGTATCACAATATCATCTCCAAATATCATATTCCACGGGACTGTTTATGGTATAGACTGTGCTAATACATCTATTACTGTTTTGAAGAGAAGTGGGCGGAGAGCCGACCCTTGATGAACTCCCTCGGCTATTGTGAAGCCTGCTGAAGTACCAGTTGTTATACGGACCATTGTTGTATGGCCCATATACATATATATCCTATATTATTCTTATATATTTTTTTCAGGAACCTTTTTGTGGCGTAGCGCCCACCAGATAAGTTTTCTTGGGATTCTATCAAAAAGACTATGAGAGCTTTTTGTTCTTTTCCCTGTATTTTTCACTCAATTGCCTAATTGCATGGGTTGCATCAGTTGTTGATCTTCCAGGCATAAAGCCAAACTGAGTCTCTCCTATTTCGATTATGTCTCTTAACCTTTTTTCTATTATTTTTTTGTAGAGTTTAAGATAGTGTGACATTAGTTTTATGCCACTGTAATTTTGACAATTGTGTGGATCCCCTTTATTTTTGAAAATAGGAACTAGATAGCTCTGCTTCCATTTTTGAGGAATCTCTTCATTTCCCAGTATTTTATTGTAAAGATTTGTGAGGAGATGTATTCCATCATCTCTTAGTGCTTTAAGGCTTTCTATTGGAATATCATCTGGACCCCTATCTTTGTTGTTTTTCATATGCTTGAGGCATGTGATTATTTCTTGTTCTGTTATTGGTTGTATAAGGTTTTGACATGGGGAGTGTTCATCTAGATGTAGTATGTGGGGATTAAAGTTGAGAAGCTCCTGAAAATATTCCTTCCATCTATTCATTATTTCTTTTTCCTTTATTATCAATTTCCCATCTTTATTTTTGATTACTTTTGGAGCTCCGTTTATATCCCTAGAATTTTTTTCTCTCTGTTTGGCTAATCTGTATATTTTATTTTGCTTTTCTTTAATATAGTTCTTCATACATGTCATCGTATGCCCTAGTAGCCACCGCCTTTGTACTCTTAGATTTTTTGTAATTTGTCTTGTCATCTGGGTTTTTGGATTTGTACCATATTTTATATAGGGCTTTTTTCTCCTGTATAGTGGTTTGTACTTCTACATTCCACCACCATAGTTCTTTGTATGATTTGTTGTCTCCCCTTGTCAAGCCTAGTGTCGATTTGGCAGTGTCTATTAATCTGGATGAAAGGTCTGTCCACATTTTTTCACTGACTTGTGAGGAATCTATTGTTTCAATGTTTGCTTTAATTGCAAAGGCATCTCTCATTGATTTTAATCTACCCCATTTGATGCATAGTTCAAGTTTTATCTTGTTTTGAGTGGATTTATCTGTGATGTGTAAATCCATGACTAGTAGTTTGTGTTGTGTGGCAATATCTTCTCCTGGGATGACTTTGCAGTTTATTACATCTTTTAATCTTCTGCAAGAGATAAGCATGTAATCTATATGGGTTTTCCTTGTACCTTCTGTAATAAATTAATAAATGATTATTTATGTATATTGTATATTAAAAACAGAATCGAACATTCGAAAAATAATAAATAAAAATTTGATTACAAAAATAAATTGAAATATAAATCAGTGGTCGTATTGTTTATAATTAGTAGTTGGTATTACTACAAATGGCGACGATAAATGGAGAAAATAATTCCTTAAATGGAGATAATAATTCCTTAAATGGAGAAAATAATTCCTTAAATGGAGATTCAAAAAAAATAGCCGATTTATCTACGATTAAATTTGATAAATTCGAGTTGGATACTTCTATCCACAGATATTTTTCTCAATGGGAAGCCAGTTTTCGGTTAAAAAACGTAAGCCCATCTGAATGTCAATATAAAGATATATTTTTAACATTTTTTGGCAATAAGAATATTGAGTTGGTGGACCGTTTTTGTTATCCTGATTCGATCGAAACTTTATCTTTTAAGGAAATTAAGTCAATATGTTTTAAACTAATTAAACCGACGTCAACAGCTTTTGCTTCTAGATTTGATTTCGTTAGATTACGGAGAACAACTGAAACCATAACTGAATTTGCAGATAAAATTAGAACAATTGGCAAGCGTTGTCATTATCTTAATGATATTGACGAGCGTTTACGTGATCAGTTTATGGTTGGCATGGAAATACCGGGATTGGAAAGAGATCTTAGAGCTCTATATCCCGACGGTCTTGATAGAGATAATAATGTACTGACTTTTCAATTTATTCTTGATCTGGCATTAGCTTCTGAGCGAGCAGATAAAGAAATGGCAAATAAAAATATGCCAGTTGTTAATAAGATAAATGTTAATAACAAAAGAAATGATAATGATAATAATTATAAACATCCAATAAAAACGACGACTACAATTGATAAAGGCTATAATAAAGTCAAGTATAATAATACATTTGATAAAGAGAATAATAAATACAAATATAATAATGATAAAGATTATAATAAACTTAAATGTTATAAATGTGGTTTTATTCATAACGGAGAAGTGAGATGTCCAGCTACAAATGCGGCATGTAATAAATGTAAAAAAATTGGTCATTTTGCAGTTTGCTGTAAATCAAAGAATTTAAATTATATAAGAGTGTCATCAAGTGATTCTATTCATAATATTTGGAAGATTCAACAAAATCGAGAGAATCGAGCAAAACTAACTGCAGAGATAAATGGGTTAGATGTTGAATTTGATTTTGACACTGGTGCACAAGCGTCATTGATAGGAATTGATATATGGACAAGTATTGGGCGACCAAAAATTAGGCCAACCAGTCCATTGACTGCATATGGTGATCATCCGTTAGACGTTAAGGGCGAGACCCAAGTCAATGTTAGAATTGGATCACAGACAAGGACTCTACCAGTGGTAATAATGAATACAACTGGGGTGCCTCTTTTCGGATTACCATGGATTATAGCATTCAATTTAGAAATGCCTCGTCAGGTTATGATTAAACAAGTACGCAATTTGGTCAACAATATTGAAAAAGAAAAATGTTGCATAACACTAGATTCTAGAATTCGAGATTTGATTAATAAACATCAAGAAATTTTTGATGATAAGATGGGACATATACGTGATTTTGCAGTGCGAATACATTTAAAGGATACCGCTGTACCAAGATCGTTTCCAGCCCATAGGGTACCATTTCCACTTCGCAAAGCAATTGAAATGGAATTAGACCGATTAGTAGCTGCAGGAATTATTGAAAAGATTGATTCGACTATAACCAGGGTACAGTGGTCAACGCCAACCGTAAATGTGCGCAAGAGTAATGGCGATATTCGAATTTGTGCTGATTTCAAAGTTACACTCAATCCGTGTTTATTATATGACCATCATGTTATTCCTACCTTAGACGATTTATTAGAGAAAATCCAAGGTGGTGATAAATTTACCGTGATAGATCTGAAAGATGCGTATTTACAGATGGAAGTAGAATTGGAATCCCAGGAACTACTAACGATAGTGACTCATAAGGGCTATTTCCGTTACCGACGATTGCCATTTGGATTGGCAAGTGCACCAACTATATTTCAAAGATATATGGATGAGTTACTAAAAGATTGCCAAATGACTGGTGTCTATTTAGCAGAGTTGTTAAAGTATCTAGATACAAGTATCTAGATACTGTATCTAGATATAAAAATGTAGTATCTGTATCTGTATCAAGATAGATTTTTTAGAAAGGTATCTGTATCTGTATCTAGATATTTTTTTAGAGGTATCTGTATCTGTTTTTAGATACTTTTTAAGATACATTTTATATACCCCTTTTTTTATTATAAATAAAAATATTTGACTGTAAAATTTATTTTATTTCATATGAGCTTATGAAATAAATAAATATATATATATTATATATTAATATTTATTAATACTATAATAAAGAATTATATATACATAAAATATTAAAACTTATATATAAAAAATATATATAAATATTCATTAATTTAAATATTATGTCCGAGTTTATCAATAAACCATACAAATTTTAATATTACAATATGGAAATGGTAAATTTTATTTTATAACTAAATTTTTAAGTTTATATATTTATTTAGATCTATATCGATGAAGAAGAGGAAGCAACAAGTTCTATTGCTTTACCATGGCCAAATTGAGCATATTTTAAAATAATATCTCAAAACAAAGAAAACAATTAATTCTCTGATGGTAAAAGGTTTGCCGTGTCTACCTAAAAATACAAAAATATCCGTCAGTATGACTTCAACGTGCAATATCGTGAAGCACATAAGGGTATAGATATTATATATTTAAAATTCTAATTAAAATTTTAAGAGAAAATATCCAACCTTGTTAACAAAAATAAAAAAGGGGAAGGAAAATAAAATACTAAAGAAAATATTGGCAAGGCTCATCCTCCAATAATATTTTTGCTAAAAGACCTTTGACTTTAACTCAAGGCACTATAGATGATTTAATTATTGCTTTTATTATAGATGGCATGCAGCCATTATAAAAGAAAACAATTGATACAAAGATTAGCTGGTGAATTATCAAAGTCATCAACTCACTGCAAGCAAATAACCTGCCAAAAAAAACAAATAATTTAATTTCAGATTTTTTTCAGTACCCTACAGCAGATATAATTTCTAATAATGATTTAAATTTTGATAATCAACAAATTTTAAATAACTTTTTCAAAAATAAATGTAGAGATTTTAGCATTTTTAAAGAACTGATATAAAATTGTTATTTATTAAATATAACACTACAATTCCTTCAAGCGCCCCTGTGGAAAGACTATTTAGTGTTGCTAAAAATGTCTTCACAGATAAACGAGGATGCCTAAATGATCAAAATTTTGAAAATATTTTATTACTGAAATCTAATAATTATTTAATCATATATTTTCATATATTATATTAAAATTATAATTTTAGTTATATTCTGATAAATGTTATATCGCGTCAATAAATTTTTAGCTCATTTCATGAATTTTCACAATATAATATTAATTTAGGTTTATGCAAACCTATAAGAGCATAAAAAAATGTATCTGTATACAGATACATTTAAAAATTGTATCTGTATCTTGATAACTTTTTAGACGCTGTATCTGTATCTGTATCTAGATAACTTTTGAGACTTTGTATCTGTATCTGTATCTAGATCCATTTAAAAAGTATCTTTTAACAACTCTGCTATTTAGATGACGTAATTATTTCTGGTCGAAATGATGAGGAGCACTTAAATAATTTGCGAATAGTGTTAGACAGATTACATGCAGCAGGTCTTAAGGCGAAATTAACAAAAGTGAGATTTTTACAAAAATCGGTTTCATTTTTAGGGGTGATAATTGATAAATTCGGTATACATCCTAACCCGGAAAAGGTGAAGGCTATCCGAAATGCACCAAAACCTAAAAATATACAACAACTTAGATCTTTTCTAGGACTAGTTAATTATCATGAACGTTTTATTCGCAATCTACATTCTAAAGCGGCGCTACTACATAGATTAACGAGCGTGAAAGTACCTTGGCAGTGGTCGAAAGATGAACAAAATTCCTTCGATGAGGTTAAGAAATTATTGTCATCCGAGGAAACGTTAATTCCTTATAACGGGCAGTTGCCTATAATTTTGGAATGCGACGCATCTGATTCAGGATTAGGGGCTGTGCTGTTACATCAATTAGTAGACGGAAGGACAAAACCTATTTCGTTCGCGTCACGTACTTTATTAGAATCAGAGAAACACTACGCTCCGATTGATAAAGAAGCTCGAGCACTTTTATTTGGTATTGAAAAATTTCATTCATTTATTTATGGTAGAAAATTTTTACTTCGAACTGATCATAAACCATTAGAGCGATTATTTGGGGAGAAACGCGATTTACCTAAAATTTCTAATAATCGTTTGACACGTTGGGCCTGGAAGATGGCTTCTTATGATTTTACAATAGAATATAGACCTGGTAATAAAAATGTAATCGCCGACGCATTATCAAGGCTTCCAATATTAGACACGGAAGAGAATCAAGATTCTAAACATGCTTTGGATATTCGAAGTATTAATTTGGATGATATGCAATTGTCAGAAAATATTCTACGAAAAGAGTCGAAGCAAGATTTAATATTAAAAAAAGTAGCCATACATATTCAGCAAAGTTGGCGAAACTTTGATCGTTATAAAGATAAAGAAATAGTTAATTTTTATAATCGACGGGAAGAGCTTTCTGTCGATCGTGATATTATAGAATGGAATGGGAGATTGGTTATTCCTAATAAATTAAGAAATGCAGTGTTAGGAATGATTCACCGGGGACATCCTGGGGAAAATGTAATGAAATCTATTTTTAGATTGTATTGCTGGTGGCCCAGATGTGATGTTGATATAGAAAATTTTATCAAAATATGTTCTGGATGCCAGAAAAATAGACCTAGTATTCAAGAAGTACCTCTATATTCTTGGACTGTTGGAAAGGAACCTTGGGAGCGAATCCATATTGATTTTGCTGGACCAGTAGATTCGCGATACTGGCTAATAGGTGTCGATTCCTATTCCAAATGGTTAGAAGTTGATCTAATGCAAAATACCTCTGCTGATGCTATGATAAAACGACTAAAAAAATGGTTTGCTAGGTTTGGAATACCCAAGTACATTGTGTCAGACAATGGACCACAATTCTTATCTGGGGAATTCCGGTATTGTGATTTAAATAACATACGTCATATACGTTCAGCACCCTATCATCCAAAAACTAACGGATTAGCTGAACGTACAGTACGAACTTTGAAAAATCGGTTTTATGCAACGAGAGATTCAATTAGCGATCCTGAAGAAGCTATGACACAGGTTTTAACAACCTACCGATTGGGAGAGCATAGTTCCACAGGGAGATCTCCTGCTAAAATTATGTTTGGGAGGCAATTGAAAACAAGTCTGGATTGGATCCGACCAAATGCCGAACACGAAATAGTAAGGGCTAATGATAAACAAAGCCTTCATCATGATTTACATTCAAAGGAAAGAGAATTTGAAATCTCACAACCTATATGGTTAAATAATGAAAATACCAATGGTTGGAGAGAGGGAGTAATTAAAGAAAGAATAGGACTTTATTCTTATATTGTTGAATCTTCCGGGAAAACATTACGGAAGCATGCAGATCAGTTAAGAAATCGTTTAGTTATCCCAAATCATGAAAGTTCTTTGGAAGTTACAGAAATGGTTGTGCCAGTGAATGAAGCAAATACAAACACAAATACCACATTACGTTGCTCATCAAGAAACCGTAAACCTACAAAGAGATTTATTGAAGAAATCTAACTTTAAATTGTTTGAAGGAAATGTAATAAATTAATAAATGATTATTTATGTATATTGTATATTAAAAACAGAATCGAACATTCGAAAAATAATAAATAAAAATTTGATATCAAAAATAAATTGAAATATAAATCAGTGGTCGTATTGTTTATAATTAGTAGTTGGTATTACTACACCTTCATATGTTATTAAATAACTGTCCTTTTTCTTATAGTAGGTGTTGGTTAAAACAAGGTTGAAGGCTTGGTCAAATTTCAGTACATGCTTTCCTTCATCATTTCTTTCTCCCAAAACCATCATGATGCCTTTTGTAGCTATCTCTTGCTTTTCCCACAGAGATAATGCGGATTAATAAACAAAAATCTATTTTTTACCTTAAAAAATAAGCTTTAAATTAAAAGCCAAATTATTTTGAATATTAAATCTAATTTTAATAACTTTGTTGATAATTATTGTAGAAAAATTAAATTTTTTTAAATATTGGTTATCAAAATTAATATTTCAAATTTTCAAAATTTTATTTTCTATTATGCTTTTACTATTTTTCTAATAATTTTTTCAATAATTGGCATGGCTAAATAATTATTTAAATATCATGAATAATGTATAAAAGACATATAGAGCTATAAACATTTTAGTAGAATAAAAGGCTTTTCTATTTTTAGGAGTTATCATGCATATTTAAAAAAAATATTTTTTACAAATCCAGGGCAGACTGTGCAATTGGTACCTCTGCAGGTCCCCAAGTAATATAGATAAAAATAAAACTTTTCTAGCAAAAATAAAAAATTATTGGCACTATTTTTCCATACCTCAAAGGCTTAAATAAAATTATTGATTATGAAATATATACATATTTTTATCGAATTATAAAATAAGTATAGTATAGAAGTTTTATTAAATTATAAAATTTCTATTGTTTAGTTTACCATTTGTTAGTTGTGTTTTTGTAGTAAGATTGATGATATAGGATAAAATTATTTTTTGAGGTACAAGTTATTTTTAGACTATCAATTATTTTTTTACAAATATTACCATTTTTGAAAACTCCAACAAAGCAGTTAGACTGTGCCTCTAATAATGTATGTTGAGACTTGTACAATTTTCTATAAAATAATTCATATTATAAAAAATTTTAAATTACTTTTCTAAATATTTGCTGGGTAAAACTTCTTCAATATTTGAGTAATTTTTACCAAAAATTTCCCCTTTCATTTGATCATAATGACTTGAATGAAATGGGTCAAGTCCAACATGAATTTCCAACTTAAAAAATGTTCATATTAAATGTAGAGAAAATAAAATGCACTTCATCTTTCAAATTTGAAAGTCGTGACGATAAAATAGGCTCCTGATTCAAAGTAGTATTTGAAGGTTTGTTGGGGAACTAATTTTTATTTAATAAGAGGTTAACATAGAGATATTATTTTATAATAAACCTGCAAGATAAAAAATAAAACATTAGGATTATTTACCACAACAACATCTATCTATAGGGTACAACATTTATTTATATTAAGAATATTTATACTTCTTTGATAACTTTTATAGCACCTTTAGACATCTTACGAAAATTCATTCATTCATTCATTACCACGCCAGAAATTGCACCGTAGCGTGCATCATGTATTTTCACTAGTATATAGATCCCATACATGATGTCTACCCGTTTTATTATAGTAGACGGTACCACTATGTAGCCAGTTAGAAAAGTGAAGAAGTAAGAAGTACAATAATGGTGATGTATTAGTTCCGTTACCGGCAGAATAGTGTTAAGGAAAAAAAAATAATATCATATAAAAAAATGTACCTGCATCCTTAAGTGGTATTTAGTGAGGCAACAAAAAATAATAACCCTTATATCTTGGTAAGTATTGAGAGTTTATGTTAAGTTTGCATGAAGATTCCTTGTTTGTTGTTCGGTGTGCCAAATATCGTATGTCCTGTAGATCTTGTATGTGCTGTGCCAATGATATTTGGGTTCGTCCGAGTTATTGCGTTATTATTATAACCAGTTTATCTTCTCATTGTCCATTATACAACTTATAGTTTCGTAATTGTTATCGTTATCGTCGCCGATATCGTGTGTCCAGAAAAGAAGGTCGTGGGTTAATAAAAGGAAGTTAAGTTATATTGTTGTTGTTCAGGTTATTCATTATCAAATATACTTATTCCATTTAACGGTTTCAATATTAATTTAGGCCATATTTTAACATGTATTGTAAATGTTCCTTTAGGTGTTTCTTGTTTTTGCTGAGCGCCATGAAATCTGCAAACGAGAGGTTAATCAGGTCCATATCTTTCAAACATTTCGCCAACCAATAGTATTTAGGAGTTTTCTTCCTACCGTCAGGGCACCATTTCAAGGACGAGAATATCATATTTTCCTGCGAGTGTCTTATGCTATGACCTAGTAATTCTAGTCTCCTCAAGGGTATGAGACGATTGATTGATAGGATGTCGCATCTATTCCAGAGCGTTGTATTTGATGTGTTGTATGGGTAATACGTTTTGGTGATTCTTCTAAGGCATTTGTTTATAAATGTCTGAATTGTGTTGATGTTACTTTTTGAGTCCTGCCAAGTCTCCAGGCCGTAGGTAAAAATGGGTACAATTAGGGACTTGAAGAGTCTTATTTTTAAATTAGTTGATATTTGGTTGGATGACCATAATTTCGACAGTTGATGATAGCGGAGTCTAGCATTATTCGTTCTCAATTTCGTATCTAAAAAAGTGAGGCCTAATGATGTTATCCTGGTTCCTAGGTATTTAAAATCTGACACTAACTCTATCGTATTACCCTCAAAGTTAAAGTGGTTTAAGTGACTGGCATCGGTATTTGAGGTGATCATTTTGGTTTTTCTGTTGGTCAAGGTATAAAAGATTCAAAATTATATATTATCAAATTTATATATTTTTAATTTAGGTATAGAGTAGCAGGACCTCACACTAATAATCACTTAGAAGATTCCACCAGTAATGGGTCAACTGTGAATCGTATTAATTACGCATATGAAATAAAGGATCGGAAGATCGCTAACTTAACCGATATTTATGAAGGAACCGAAGATGTTTTAACATTTTTGGATGAAATTTCTAAAATTGTTAAATTAAAATGTTAGATTTATATTTTATTTATAAACATTATTCTCGGCATATATATCGCAATTTGTTCAATTAAATATTCTTAATACGTATACCTTTATAAATGTCACCGTTTTATTTTTAAGTGCTAATATATATAATGTAAACAATTAATCAAATAACTATCCATACAATTAAAATGTAAATAATAAATATTGTTGAGATCTATATTTTATATGAATTTTTATATAAATTATTTATTCTGTTTCTATATGATTGTTTTATTATAATATTATATATTATCCAGTGCAAATAAAAATGATGAATCCTTCTATGGAATATATAAATAGTTTATATATATCGTGAATGTAAATGAGTTATTATTTAAAATATAAATAATTAAACAACCTAAATTCTCAGTTTTATGATAGTTTTACTTATAGGATGTGACTTTAAAAAGAAATATATATCAATAAGATATTTTAATATTTTTATATATCTTAATAATTACAGGTTTTAGAGACATATTATATTATGGGAAAAATTTAATACATATTTATTGCTCTAGATTAAAAAATTTTTATAATATCTTTAAAAAATTAATATAAAAATAAAATATGTATTATTTAAATTTATAAATTATTTAGTGTAGTCATACATAAATGGGAATGTTTTTTTATTTTTCGCTATTTTGGTTTTCGCTGTTTCGTACCGAATTCTTTTTTTCTTCCCACCAATAATCCTATATTTTTATGTCAATTCATCAAGTTATTATTTTATAAAAAGTATTCAATAAATTTAGATCAATCAAATAATATTAAAATATCTGAAGCACTTGAAAGTAATTTGACATATTTTGATAAATATATTTATATTTTCTTTAGATCTAGACATGATTATAGACAGAAAGGAACAAAGAAAACAAGACTTTTAATTATAAAATGATTGCAATTATTTATGTATTAGCATTATAGTTGTTAATAAATTATTTTTTATTGAATAAAATGATTGCAATTATTTATGTATTAGCATTATAGTTGTTAATAAATAATTTTTTATTGAATAAAATTATTTCAAATTAAATTTGTTTACTTGATTTTATCTCATTTTTTATTTAAGATATGTAAGAATTAAAGCAAAAAAAAGCTTTTGTGGAAGATAATAACATTTTTTCCTTTACAATACCCTAATATTTATTTCCATTAATTTTAAATACTTTTGGCATTTTACCTTCATTAAATTTACTGAAATATAATTTTACACAATTATATTATCACTTTTTAAATTCTAATTTATTATTAAAGCCAAATTTTAAAATATTTTGCCTAAAAAACTGGAAACAATAAGATTAATATAAAAGAATTAAGTGTTTTGTTTTCATTCACATGATATTTGATTTAAAATCCTGTGCCTATTCAAATCTTATGAATTCTAATATTATAAATGTAAATGTATTAACAGACCATGCTGGAATGAAAGTTTATTAATGCTTTGTTAACATAAGATTTTATTCTAATTAATTTTATTATACATGCATCACAATTATTATAAAGTAATGTAAGATTTAATAAAAATATTTTGTGATAAGGGTTTGGCTAGACTCTGGAGTAAATAATTCTTTTTCCACAATATTCTCTAGCTTTCTTAGTGAATCTTGATCCCTTAGATGTTCATGAGCATATTCAAGAAAAGTATAATAACCATTGAGAGCCTGATTTTTTGTAATTAAATGATCAGATATCTCTAGGTTCCCTTCGTCATTCTCGGAGCTTTCATAACCTTCTATAAAAAATAAGATTAATTAAAATTTTAAGTAATTAAACCTTCCAACTCTAATCTTATCTGATTACAAATATCCTGATCATCCAAAATTCCATGGCAGCTAGCATCATCATCGTGTAACGCATATTCTTCAAATATGGGATCAAATTCATCTTCTTCGTTGTCAGTTAGTGCTATATCATCCACCGATTCCCAATCAAATGCCATAGACTCATTAGCGTACGCTGCAAGGGGGGGGGGGCAGGGGGACAAACCCCCCCCCCCCCCCCAAAGCCAAAATGCAGATGCCGGACATATTTTTTCAAAAATATTATTTTTTATATTTTTATATTTTATTATAATTATTCATATCTATTTCTTTTTAAATTTTTATATTATTACCTTTTTCATTTACTAATTTACTTTATCAATTAATTTTCAAGTTTTCCTTGTAACGTAATATTTATCTATTATTTTTAAATTTCCCGGTATTATAATTTTCAAATTTCTAGTCATGGATATTAGACTTTTTTTAAAAAACGCTGAAGGTGAAAATCATGCCAAAAAGCAAAAAAGTATAGTATGATAATTTAATAAACAAAAACTGTGAACTGTTGATTTCCTCAAAAGAATCAATTCGAAAGGGGGATATAATTCCCTTTTCATCAATAATTGATAAAAATAGGGTTAAAATTGCAAAAGAAAATAGAGGCAAGATAAAACTAACTATTGAGGCTATTTTATATTGTGGCTTGCAAGGCCTAGCACTTCGTGGCTACAAGGATTCAGGAAGCCGAAGGTAATTTCCGTGGACTTTTAAAATTTAAAGCATTAGGAAATCCTGTATTAATAGAGAGCCTCATTAGTACCAATAAAAATGCTACTTATCTCAGCCCTAGGATATAAAATGAGATAATTGATATTTGCAACAATATCATTTTAGAAAAATTGATTGTTGAAATCAATTCTGCCCCATGCTTCTCAATTTTGGCAGATGAGACCACGGACATTTCTGGCATTGAGCAGATGTCGTTGTGTGCGCGATATGTATATACTCATAAAAACATTATCAAAGAAATGTTTCTCCAATTTATTCCTGTTTCAAGCATGACTGGGTCTGCTTTAGCTGATGTAATATTTGTGAATCTTAAAAAATTAAAAGTAATAATTAATCTTATTATATAATTATTTTAAAAAATATAGCTAAATATAAATATGATACGTGGGCAAGGGTATGATGGAACACGTGCAATGAGTGGACAATACAATTCAATGGGCTTCAGGCATTTATTAAAAAAAAATGCCCAACAGCTATATATGTCCACTGTGCTGCCCATTCACTCAACTTAGCAATATCGGATTCATGTTCTTTACCATTGATATCAAATTGCTTAGGTTTTTAATTATTAAATTAAATTTTTTATATTTATATCAGTTAAAATATCTAGCATCTATGAGATGTTTAGATACCCCAAGCGTCAAAATGTTTTGAACAGAATTATATCTGAAACTCCTTGCCCAACAAGGAGGAAAAAATTGCAAAAAGCTTGTCCAACAAGATGGAGTCTTCGACATCAAGCAGTAACAGCTTTTATCGAGTTAGAAGAGCCGATTATTAATGCTCTTATAGAAATATCACAATGTCTGAAAAAGATATTTCTTCAGAAGCAAGCAAGTTACTGGATTCAATACTTATACCAAATTTTTTTTTCGCATTAGAATGTATTGATAAATTATTTAATTATACAACTATTTTATG